GAACGTTATATATGTTGAAATTTTATTTGTGCAATCTTCTTGATTATACGTATTATACTTAGTGATTTCATCGCTATTGTAATTTCATAGTAGAAAAAGGGGGATGTAATGATATTAACTATATGCATGTACAGTAATGACGTCACAGTCATGTGCTTACAATAAAGTGTGCTTTGTATGAACCCTAGTATGGCGTGCGTGTTAGTACAGACTCCATCCAGTTTTTCTTAACTCTGAACTGTATTTTTGAAACCCAACCAACGTAAAGAACCACGAGTAATGAATTGAAGCATCCGTTGTTATCATATACGACAAGATAACATCGAACTTAATTGACTTTTGTTGCTTCAGTTTATTCGAATGAGGAACTAAGTTACGTTTGATTATTGCGACTTCTTTTTAATTTCATTATAACGGAAGTTTTCTCTTCCACTCTCTACTTCACCTAATAATGCTATTCCGTGAAAATGTGAGTATGTCTGTGGTTCTACCAGTTTTGCTGTCGTTTTTAACAATAATTCACCAATTGGCACTCCTTCAATTGTTGATTTTAGTCAGTACTAATTTGACTTATCGTGTGAGACATCGCCTAACCGGAACAGCTGATCAGAGAGAAATAGCTCAGTGGTTTCGATAACTAAAACTTGAATATCAACATTTCTCACCCTACTGAAATAGGCGATATGCATTATGGCGTCATTTACTACAACTACCAGAATGCTTTGCCAGCTTTCTTTTATAATCAATTAGTGCCAATTGTTTTATTAATCTCCAAGGGGATTAAAAATCTGAATAACAATGAAAATGCGCAAGACTCTCTGGTAGTTGTAGTAAAGCTACGTCATAATGCAAACGGCCTATTAAGAACTTTTCCTTTTGCGTCAGTCTCCCTCGGMCAACACGTCATCATGAAATTAATTGCAAATGTGGGTTTCCTGTGGACCTGCAGACGTCATCAGGTTTCGCCTTGACGACTGGACAAAGTACATGCATGGTGATAGTGCGATCAATGCACATGGTAACCAATATATATATATATATGACCAGATGAACCTAGTATTACTTGCTGCCTGTCTATCCATATTAGTCGGTAAGTGTACTTACAAAATAACAAAACCTGCATTTCAAATCGCTTTTCTCGTCTAACTCATAAATCATTATATTCACACCTCTGATAATTTTAAAATTCGGGCAAGAATCCGGAGATTGATGAAAGTCCAGGGTACAATTTAAAGCGGTCTGCACTTTTAATACGAACTCATTTATCTCCTGTATCTCGGCCGCAACGCGCATTACTAAAAATAGTGCTGGAAGTGCTGGAGTATTTTAAACGTGTACCGGAATCACGTATGGAAATTGTAAATGAATTTACATTGTTCGGGTACATTGCTGTGCAGTAAAAGTTTGAAAAGAGTTTAACTGCTTAAAAGCAAGCATCATTTCGTGATGGKCTTTAGGGAAATGAGGGAAGGCGATGCTAGTTACTAGATGTAAAATACTCTAAGTAACGTTGGTATTCAAAATGTTTTAAGAACTATTACGTCAATAGTCCAAACACACTCTATAAACTGAACTATTCTACAAATAGAAATGTTGTATCTCTTCTGTAAAGAAAGTTGTCTATTTGGAATAGATTAATTGAAGCTGCAATAGTTGTTTGTAGAGACAATGCTGTCATATAAACCTGTCAATCATGTAGTCAATGAGCTCGACACTAAAGGTCAACATAGATCCAGAGCACTGAGCGACTCCCCTACCCTCTCTCCCCCAGAGGGCATGCTACTCAGGCCCTCTCCTCTCCCCCCAGAGACTATGACACTCAGACCAAAGGCGACTCATTGTCAACTGGTAAATCTCAGTAAATCTACATGTATATGAGTTAAAAGAGACTGGCCTAGTTTAATTAATAACAATTTAACATTAAAACATTACTCTTTTCATAGCCGGCACACACGGCTTTCGTTGCTATGCTTGTAATGGTTACCATGACTCTACTGAATGCCAGAAAACAATAAACTGTAGCTCATACTGCTACAAGAAGACCGCTGACAGAGTTTTTGGTGGTCAGACAACTCGTGTKACGYTAGCGGGATGTCGATCAAGCTGTTCTACTTTGGATAAAATAACTKCTTGCACAGGAGAGGTAAAGCCAGTAAGACTAATACATTGTCTTTGAGTATAATATGCAATTGATTCAAGAAATGTAGAACRGAGAAAAGCATAGAAGCTGCAAACCATTTCTCTGCACCCTCAGTGGTATGAACGCTGTTTATCAATCTAATCAGCGAGAGCGCGCGTTTCAATTTTATGAAAAATAATTATAGACTTCATTTTGATTGTTTTCCTTGTTTTAAGACCGATTGTGTCATGTCTTGCTGTTCAACGAACCTCTGCAATCGCGTAACATCTGCTGATAGCAAAACACCCAGTAAGTACATGGCTTATATAGTAGTGATCAGTCAAATGACAACTCTCACAGATAATATTGCTTTTTAGCCTATCCTAAATGTTATTCCTGCTCATCTACCACCTCCTATACCGACTGCAATGCCCGATCAATCGAGAAGACCTGCAGCTACTACACGGCCAACGCGCCTTCTAATTGTTACAAGGCTACCTATATTTCAACTAATTACCTCACTGGAGTCAGTAAACGATACTATAGAAAAGACTGCACGACGAGCTTGCGAGCCTGCAGGAATTTGCGGTCAGTGGTGTGTAGTGGTTATAGTAGTAGTGAATGTGAGGTTCATTGCTGCACCGGAAGCAAATGCAACGAAGGTACTCCAAATAAAATAAGCCTTTCAGCTCTGCTACTCTTTTTATTCGCCCTTTGCAAGGTTTTTGTTTGGTCCATGTAGAGAAACTAATGCCCGCGGTCCTTTGCTCGTGTTATCAAATATGTTAGCTAGCTGTTCACAAAGTCTAGATTACTTGGAGGTACCYAGAGGATTATCAAGGATAACACTGAGCTTTTTCTTATTGAAATGGTCAACTCAGTGAGCAGCAAACTAGAAAATTATCGAAAAGCAAACTTAGTTAACTGTCTCTGTTATATGTCAATGACTCCACTCAACCTCAGTAAAATTAGCGCGGAATATGTAAAGGRTGAACATTATTTAGACCGGAGTGGCATTCGCACCAGTGTTTAGCCTAATGTGTCTTTATTGTGAAAAGGTGGTCTTTACAAAACTAATAGCCTCTTTCCCTCAACAAAATAATCAGTAGCTCAGCAAGATACAATAGATAAATAATAAGAAATGAATGTTACTTCAGTCAATATCATTTGAATGGGAAATAGACAGTTTGAATCAGATTTCATATGAAAAATTACAACTTCGCAAAGAAAAAGATCAAAGTATAACTTTTATCAATGCGCATGCCATAATCAAGAAGACGCTGACAGGTACGTTGATAGCACCATTGCATTTATAGCCTGTACAACAGGACATAACGCCTCCCTCAATGGTGCATTTATTCCCATCATGACAAGCCTTCCAGTATGTCCCATTCTTCTGTGCTGTGTAGCAGTATGAAAGTGCACCGTCGACTTTACTGCATGGCACCACATACTGGTTGGCTTTGCAATCGGCAGCTGATGTCGTTGACTTACAGGCGTAGCACTTGGGGTACTCTGGAAATAAGAATTTGTTTTACGTAACCGCATCTTTACATCAAATTTACATCATTTTGGACTGACTTACATCGATTTACATCAATTAACAACCTTTTAAGTGTTCGTTTTTTCCAGTGTAGTGCACTAAGAAATGACAAATACGAACTTCTATCCATGATAAACCTAGTATTATAATCTCTTTTTTCTATCAGTACTCTTTATGGCTTACCGTCAGTCTCATTAGGGTCGTTACAATTTTCATAGCTGCAGCAGGACGCATGACAATTTTCCTGTTGAAAAAAAAAAAACTTTGTGAATTAAGTAAACAATTCTTTCCAAGATATGTTTTAAACAAATATGTGCATGGAAGCGTGTTACTGATAGCTTTACCTTGCCCTTGCAAAGATCTGATTCGCCAGCTGAAGTGCAGTCGGACATACAGCCAGCAACGGTAACGCGGCTGACAACACCTCCGGTGTCCTGGTCAGCGGAGAGCTTGTAGCAGTACGGCTCCTTGCTTGAGCACGTGACTTTGGTGCAGTTATCATTTCCATTGCATTTTAAACACTTTTGAGCTGTTCGTTCGATATTAAAAGCCTCATTCGGTTACTATACTTATAATTTTATTTCCTGTACAGTGCCATTACAAAAAGCGACACATTGTTTATGCTATGTTTTCTTGCCGGCGTAAAAAAATTAAATTGAGTTGGAAATCAAATCAAATACTCCAATTTTTTTGGAATTCCTCTCCGTCAAATCTCATATATTCTTTTTAAAGATGATAAACGAGTCATCGTTTGGATGTGTGATTCCTATATATACCTTACAGTGTTCATAGCATACCATCACTGATTATGATATATATCAAGTGACTTAACAAATGTACTCACGTACCAGGTAGACGATACACTTCGTTACGGTATGGCCCACCAGTACCGTCATCAGCACAATCACTCGACTTATTATATTTGGTATAATTTGCTTCATGATTCTCCCCGCCCCAGCACTCGGTGTTGGCCTGAACACCAAATATGGACCATCCTTTGGCCCTGGTGTAGTCTGCGCATGTCCTGACGGCGGCATCTCTGTAGAATCGACCTAATAATTTTGGCAACGCCCTTGTAGATTTGTCCTCCCAGCATCCAAGTCTTTGATAAGTTCCTTCTGAAAGATTATCAAAAAAGAAGTGAGATGATATATCAGATGGAAGCATTAAAAGTACTCCGTCAACAAACAGTACAGTAAATGTCGTAAAGGTTTTTGGAAGTTAAACTGGTGGAGATAAGTGACCAAAGAAGCCGGTAAGTAATCCGGGAAAGGGAAGACTGGTATTTGGTTCGTTTGGCGTAGTTCCTGGATCCCAGTCGATCCTGATTCCTAATTTTAGTCAATAGACTTTAGATCGATTCTGGATTCCATTTTTTTTTTATTCTGGCGATGTATATTCCACTTATTAAAATGTTTGGACGGTCTAACATTTCTCCGTTTGCCAATCAGGCGAAGTCATGCATGCTGCACTATACAAGTAACGATCAAACACAACTCTACCTTTAAACTGATACACATCGTTGGCCCATTCTCCACCCATGCCGTTACGGCAGTTTACTGCAAGTCCAAACACTTTATAAGTATTCGCCGCAGCAGCTGCAGAATAGCACTCTTTACCATATTGTACACCAAACGTTGAATAGCCTTTTCTTCTCACTCTATTAGCACAATGATCCACCGACTTTACATCCCCAAGTTTTTCACTCATTGCTCTGAAGAATGTATCTTTGAAGCATCCGATGTGGTTGTAGTCATCACTGGCAGCTGTTGAGGAGAACAAACGAAATATTTGATATATTACTTCTACAGCCCAATGCAGTTACAAATATATTGATATATAGCTAGGGTAGCTGCTGAAATCATTTCCTTAATTTTTAATTTTTCACTTTTTTCCCCTTTATTAATTATAAAAGATATGCAGAACATGCAGAATATGTTTGAAATACCCTAAATAAACTTTATTTGCAACCAAACCACAAATTAATATAAATCTCTAAATGTCGTTGAAATTTTGACAGATCCGTGAAGTAAGTTTATGTCATGTATAGTAGAATGAAGTTAGCATTGCCTTTTTTGCTTGTATGTTGGAGATTTTGGGTAATTTGTTGTCAAAAGTGCAAATGCTTGGGGTGGAGAAGGGCACCTTTAGATTTATTCAAAATTTGCTCAACTTTATTTTGTTGAACGCGTTTGAGCGGGGTTTTCAACACACCTGTTGAAAAACGTTGAATCAATGTTGAATCAGTTTAAAACAATTTTGTTTCGACGGACATCCGTTCAACATCTCAGTTTATATTAAAAAAAAAACATTTGATAAAAGGGAGGATTTGGAGGATAGCGAAGAGGTTTTAAGCTTAAGTCCAGCACTGCTCAACTAAACTTAAATGTGTTTTTAGTAAAACAGTGGAGAATAAGTAATACAATTTTCTGCTGTTTTATGCTTATTCTTTTGTTTTCCTTTCATGTTCAACTAGTATTAAAGCTAACATTTTGCTCACGTTTTACTGAAAACACTCTAAAAAATGGCTAGCAATTATGCTCGAATTTGTTTGATTAATGCTTAAGCTTACCTTCAGAAAAATAAATGTAAGAGGCAACAAAGAATACAATTTGGAGCTTCATTCCTTAAATTTCACTTTACCAGAGGCCAGCAGCTTGATGGATATTTCATGAACACATTCACTCCATATTTCACTCCGTATATTTAGACTTTCTAAAATGGCGGAAGGTCACGCCGTTATAAATTCATGTTCAAATACACCAAGAAAAACACGCTCCACCGTGTTTTACCTTATCCCTCACTGTATTTCACCGTATTCCGATTTAATCAAAACGTACATCTATCCGCAGCCGTATACCAGCCGTACGTAGCCGTACCTGAATATACTTCGGCGTATTTGGACGTACTTTAACGTACCTGACCGTACTTTAGCATACCTGGTCGTACTTCAGCCTGCCTAGAGGTACTTCATAGTTCTTGGGAGTATTTCACCGTATATGAATGTACACAGACGTATCCAGATGTACCTCACTGTACCTGAACTTACTTCATCGTACCTGAAGGTACTTCGGCTTAAATGGATGTGCATTACCGTACCTGGATGTGCCTCATACGATAAATCTATCCTTCGCCGTAACTTACCGTACCTGACCGTACTTCACCGTGCCTGATAGACTGCGTAATGTTTTATTTGCTCGCCAAGACGCTTTATAAAATATTTTAGCTAGCTGTCCACGAGTTCTAGATTACATGGAGGTACTCAGTGAGCAGCAGATCAGATATTTGTCTAAAAGCAAGACGTCTCTGTGGTGGTAATGACTCCACACGGCCTCAGGGGTATGATAATAGCTCCAAATATATAAAGGATATGATTGAACATTATACTGGGTGATTTGAGAAAATGCGACTAGCCAATCABCGCAAAGCTGACAAGCTTATGTTGTAAACATAACCCCCCGACGGGAGGAATTTGCACAACAAAACTCGACCCAGTGGAGTAGGCTGCCTGCCATTTTATTCTATCCGAAAAATCAAAGCTAAAACGCAAAGACAAATGGAAAATCTTTATAAAATAGCTTTTATTAAATGTCAATCAAACACTTATCGTTATAGAAATAGAATTTTATCTTAAAAATGAAATAGCAAAGAATTTTTTCTTTAATACCAAGGGACACCCCTCCCTGCTAAAAATAATTAGTCTGTGTTCTACGCGGGTTCTCCATTGCATGCGAAGCAATGGCCGACTTCACGAAGACTTCAGAAGGTCGTTGAAGCGACGTTCAAGTCCAAAGTATCTTATGAAGGAACCATTGCAAATCCTTTTTCTTAGCTCTTGTTTCCTCAAAGCTTTGAGGTATCTACAACATCACTGAAAGAGCTAGAGCAGCTTAGCTCCATGTATTCCAATAGAGTTAAAGCGTTTGTTATGTTTCATACAAACAACTGTCGTAGTTCATCCTTTGTCGCATTTTTGGCAATAACCCGCAAGCATGCTCGACGACACAACGAGTTGACGTTATGTAACAGGTCGGTTACACATTTACTAGCTTTGACCTTACAACGAGAGCTAGAACGGTGACTGCGGTTTTTCGTGTAATGTCTTGATAGCGACTGTTTATGTCGAAACGACTCAAAACAAAATTCCATCGTGGAAAAAGTTCGACTAAATTCCCATCTGAAAAACACGTGTGTATTTAAGGTGGAAAATGTTTCATATGAGCATTCAATTCTTAAAGGTT